CTCATTAAGAGTGCTCATCAAAGGATACAACAAAGGTTATCCTTCAGAAGGTTGAGAAAGAACAAAATCGCAATGGTTAACTCTCAAATATCAGCAGTGTGCATCAAAGAGAATGATATCCCAAAGAGCATCTCTCGCACATCAAAAGATCAAAAGGTGACGATACCATAATGGTTATTCCTCTTCAACCAAACAGCAAGGCAATTACACCTTTTCAGCAAGTCAAAAAACGACTCGAAATCACATAACTGGTTCAAACCAAAAGAAATAATAAAAGAAAATCCCCGCTAAGCCGAAACTTGAAAAGACAAGTCACTTAGGCAAAAGTCAGGGCATCCCGCTGGATTTCAAAGTCAAAATCAAAAGGAATTTGTCTAGGCAAAAGTTAGGGAACACATAAAGAAAGCGAAAAGCGCGAAAAGAAAAAGGGGATTACCAAGTAAAGATCCTCCGCAAAGAATAAAATTGTGTGATCGAACACAAAGAATGAAAGAGTTGAGTGACGGCCATATCCTCCTCAACCATGGTAAACTCCTTTTGAGGAATGAGTGCCCGTATTGGTTTAACTGAATTTAGGACTGGAGAACATCACGGAGAATGGGTGGGCACCAAATATTTTGAGCCTTAAAATTGTTTCTTCTAAAACCATGAACCAGGCCACGTTACAACCCTTAAGAGTCCTAACTGAAGCAAGGGTTAATTCGAAAGCACACTGTAACAAAAAATATGGTAATCTGACTCCTACGAGGCTTGCAAAAACCTTTTTAGTTGGCATCACGCTATCTTTTTAAATTTCTTCCATACAATTTTTTTTTGTTTAATCTTTTCAATAAAGGTTTTTAAACTTCAAGACAAACATGAGCTTTGCATTACAATTACCATTCTTAGAATAAACATTATTTGCATATGAGCAAGTGCTTAGACATCAAATGAAAATTTGATTATCTCAAGGGACGAATTGCTTCAAGATACCGTTTAAAGGTGAATCATTTGTGAGAATGGTCTTAATCTGGGGAAAATATTATGTTAACTCTGTTGAGTAAAGGGAGGCCAGTTTGAGAAATGATCTGAAGTAGATTGCAAAAGGTGGTTGCCCAGAGTCTTTGTCAAGCAGTGGTGCGTTACTTTCAGTTGGTTCCAAGGGACATATTGTTTCAAGTATTTGCTCGAGAATGAAGCAGTTCAAGTCAAGAAGTATGGTTGTGAAGTAACCTACTTTCAAGACATAAGCCAACCACTCTAAGGTTATGTTGTCTTCAAAAACCCTCAAGTTTTTGTCTCTCCGTGAGCATGAGGTAAAGGAAAAGATCTGTCAAGATTCTGTTGAGCAGGGGCAAGCGTGTCGAATACTCTGTCGAGTAGGTATTCAGCCAATCTGAAGCATTCAAGTGAGGATTTTATCCCTCAAAGTGCAGTCAAGCTGGGGCAGTTATACTAGTATTTGACAAATCTCTCCGAGAATGCTTTGATCAGAGGAGAATCTTCCCTGAATTTGAAGATGTATGAGCATTCACTCAAGCATAGTTGGAGTCATACCCAATTTTAGTTACCTAAACATCATGTTCCAAAGTTTGTAACACTGGGGCAGATTGTCTTCAACAGTATAAATCTCAAGAAGTCCTCTCAAAGCAATTTTTCTATAAAATCCTTACGGACCGGGGCAAGAATTTGTGCAAGGGATTTCTCTCTTCTTCAGTGGTTGATCAGATCAAGTCCATACGCAAGCTAAATGACCTATGAATTCGAAAATCATGTCGAGAAGTCGGGATAATTATCTTCGACTTATTAGAGACTCAAGTCCATTTACTGATATCCTTTGTCCTAAGTCAACGCTATTATCCCCAGTCGAAGTTTGGATTGTTATCCTCGATAGGATATGAGTAGTAACGCAAAGATGATTTTGGGTGTTTACTCGTGCGAGACGCGATGGAAATATTGCTTCATAGGGGGATGTTGCTTCCCAGTGAAAGACCTGTTGCTACTTGACAAAGACCTATCTACCAAGGGGTTTCTCTCCTAAGGCATTTTCTCCCCAATGAAGCATCCTCATTTCTCTATAGGAGGAGAATGTGCTTTCTCCCTGGAAATGTAGAAGTTGTGTAAAGTCTAGATTGATCCCTTTTCATTGGACTGCAATTTATTTTTGCAGCATCTTCTCTAAAGTCCATTGTTTAGTGGCATTTCTCCTCGGAGTCGACATGTTGAAGTTGCAATCTTGCATCGCGGTTTTTACCCGGTGATTGATAGTTCAAGTTGTCTATTCTTCAGTAAGGTTTTCCATTCCAAACAGGGGCATGTCGCCCCAATTTCTATTTTGCAAGTACTGTTGGTCTTGTATGACAAGATGCATACCAACAAATGAATCAAGAAGGGTAACGTGAGGATTTTCGTATAATGAAATCCAATTTCCCCAGTGGAGCTACTCTTCCTTGCCTAGTGGAGCAAGTATCCTATCTCTCTGATGAGGTATGCAGGAGAATTACGGTCATAACTCTTTCATTACCAGTGGGAGAAGATTTTGTTGAGTTGTCCCTAGTGGAGTTTCTATCTCGGGATGTTTGTTTCTTCCCCAAGTGAGAACCTTTTACCTCCCAACGATGTTATCCCCAGTATGGTCTGAGTAGAATTCTTTTTATTTAAGAATTTTGTACTCCCCAACAGAAGTTATCTTCGTCAAAGAATTTCTATGCCAGAAGTTTCCATTCCCAGCAAAGCTTTCCTCTTTCCAGCAGATGATAAAGAATTTGTTCCCCGTGAAGTTGGGAGGTTGAACAGAATTCAAGATTTTCTATGAACTGCAATTTATGTTTGCAGTATTCATCCCAGGAAGTCAACTCCCCAGTGATATCTATCTTTAGAGGTTGGTGATTCCAAATCTTGGTTCCCCATTGAAGTACAAATTGCCTTTTCTCTACAGAAGATCAGATGTGCAAGAATAATCATTCAGAAATTCTTTGTCTTATCAGCAGCCGATTATTAATATATTTTCCTAATGCATTACTAAACATTGCATCATTACATTGCATCTACCAAAACGCGTAGCATTCCCATTATATGGAGCATTACGCTATAAAAATTCAAACATGCATGAGTATAAGCCAATTATGTCCACCTGTGGTAACCAGATTGTTATAGGCTCAGATTTGATTTATCTCTACAACAAGCCTAGGGTAATTCTATTATGTTTCCCCATCAGAGTTTGTTTTGATTCACCACCATTCGGGTCTTTGGTATTTCTCCATTTCCCCAGTAAGTTTATGGTTTGCGCTTGCCTTTGCAAGCCTTTGGTTATTTTACTCGTGTTTGCTTTGCCATTAGATTCTGAGTAAGAGTAGGTGTATAACCTTTCTTTCTTCTCAAGTGTTTGAGTATCCATACTTGGTGTGTGGTAATTCAGATGATTGCCACTTTTGAAGAATTACACCCCTCCTTTGGCCTGAGGGATTTTGTAGTTCTTGCGTATTTGCAACCTATCGAAAGCCTAACGTATTTTGGAAATCTTTGTTAGAGTCTGCTTTGACCATTCTCTTTCTCTTGTAGAGTTCACCTTTGATCGGTGCTCTTTGAAGGTCCTGCTTAGTCGGTTCCTTGTTTTGGTTTATCTGTGTTAGTCGGGTCCTCCTTTCGTTAGCTTAGCTAACCTTTTATATTAAGAGTCCTTCAGTGTCTCTTCAAAGTCCAGTTGTCTGGTGTCCTTATTTAGGCGAATGCGTCCTTTTTGTTGGGGGCTTTCTTCAGTTAGTCTTGTTCCTGTGCTCACCGTCAACTCTAAACATTTGTTTCTTGATGCTCAATTTTGCTCTTGTGTGTCTAACTCTGACCAGATATGCATACCTTTATCCCTTAAAGTCCACCTTCGGCTGGCATCCTTAAAATCCAGCTTCGACTGGTCTCTTTTCAGTTGTAAGTTCGCCTTTGATTGGCGTTCTTTTTTTAGGAATCTACCTTCGGCATAATATTCCTTGATGAAGATTCCCCTTCGGCTGGTTTCTTTATCTTAAAGTCTACCTTCGGCTGGCATCCTTAAAAGTCCCCTTCGGCTGGTCTCTTTTCAGTTGTAAGTTCGCCTTTGATTGGCGTTCTTTTTTTTAGGGATCTACCTTCGGCATAGTATTCCTTGATGAAGATTCCCCTTCGGCTGGTTTCTTTATCCTAAAATCCACCTTCGGCTGGTACCCTTTGTTGAGAGTCCCCTTTGGCTGGTCTCTTTTCAGTTGTAAGTTCGCCTTTGATTGGCGTTCTTTTTTTAGGAATCTACCTTCGTCATAGTATTCCTTGATGAAGATTCCCCTTCGGCTGGTTTCTTTATCCTAAAGTCCACCTTCGGCTGGCATCCTTAAAAGTCCACCTTCGGCTGGTATCCTTCGTTAAAATCCCGCTTCAGCTGGTATCCTTCGTTAAAATCCCACTTCCGCTGGTATCCTTTGTTAAAAATCCCGCTTCGGCTGGTATCATTTGTTAAAATCCATCTTCGGCTGGTATCATCTGTCAGAAGTCCCATTCGCTTGGTCTCTTTTCTCAGTAAATTCGCCTTCGATTGGTGTTCCTTCGTCAGAGTGTTTACTCAGCTGAATATTGCGCTCCAAAAAAATAATAATAAAAATAGAAAATACAGAAAACCAAAAAATATAATGTATACCTGACTGGCTTCAGAGCGCAAATTTTCAGGTTCTTTTAGTATTTAATCTTCTTCTACCTTGAAAGTTCGAAAGGTCGGCGCCAATCTCACCTTCAGGTTGAAGGCGATTAAATAGGGGCAGCTGTTGCACCCCAAAATTTGCCCTCCTAGTTTCTTATATTTGGCTTAGGCTTAGCATTGCATTCATATCTTTCCATTAGGTCATTAACATACATTTGCATTCAATAAAGCTCTTGAGGTTTGAAGTTCAGCGGTTGTGGGATATTAGGGTTTCACAGCAGTTAAGGTGTTCGTATCAAATAAAGCCTGATTCTTCTGATTATCCTTCAAGCAGTAAAATGTGGAATTAGGGTTGCAACCTATGTTTATTGAGGGTTATGTTCTCTTGAAGTTAAGTGGTTTATTACTTCAAGACAAGAGTCAGAGTGTTTCTCCACCAAGTTTGTGCTTGACAGCATTTCATCAATCGAGGTTCATTAGGTTTTCTAAGTCATGGCCAGCTTGGTCATATTTCTTTCTGTATCCCCATGTTCATTTCCAAGTTGTTCTACGAGGTCATCTAAAGGGCTACTAAATCAGGCATTCATTATCTTCTTGTGCTCAACATCATCCTTTGATTAGGGTTTACTTCTTTAAATCATGTACCATTCAAGAGAGTTTTTTCTGGGAATGTGTGATTATCAGCCAGGGCTATCATCAGGGGATATCGTCCATGAATAACCAGGGTTTCAATTGATATATCTTTAAAAAAAATAAGAAGGAAATCGTCGCTTGAATCTCTAGTCATGTGGGCAACAACTCTATTCTAGAAAATAAGATTCAGTTGGACCTTCTTCACGAATCAAGGTTCGTACGCCTTATAATGAAAAGCTCTTCATATGGTCGATTGGCTTACCTGCAATATAATCTATGTTGATTCGGATTTCATTTCAACGCTTTGAAGATCAAAATCTAAAAGCTTTTTATGGAATTTTAGGATTTATATCCTATCATACTTAGGTTTATCAACATCTCCAATGGAGGTTCATGAGATAACGAGGCGTGATATAAGGATGGCATTGTAAATTCATTAAGACCAAGGCGGTTTGGTTCTCTTATTATTTGTTATACAAGGTTGATGGGGATCAACATGTTGGATCCATTCTCTCACGAAGGACATAGGGTGACCCTAATGCAATATCATTCAAGGTTTTCAAGCATTTTTAAGACAGAATTTTAAGTAGAAATTCAAAAAAACAAATTCAAAATGTGAGGCTTTTTCGAGTTATCGTTCGTTACACATTCAAAATTTCAAAACAGCTTCATTCACGGTCGTCCATGGAAACCATGAACAAAAAGAAAAAAAGGAACATTACAAAAGCAAAAGCATGGCAATTGTACAGTTGTACTATCAGCTGTTAAGATGATCCTTCAACAAATGGAGCTCATGTGGTCCGGAAGCTTTGCAAAAAATGGGCCCCTCCTCTTGTGACATTACTCTCAGTAGTACCTGAGATACAATATGTTGCCCTACGAAATATCAATCTTATTGTACAAAGAAGACCGACAATTCTTGCACATGAAATTAAGGTGTTCTTCTGCAAATACAATGACCCTATCTATGTGAAAATGGAGAAATTAGAAATTATGATAAAGCTTGCTACAAACCGAAATATAGACCAGTTTTTATTGGAATTTAAGGGATATGCTACTGGAGTTGATGTAGATTTTGTTAGAAAGGTTGTTCGTGCAATTGGCCGTTGCGCCATCAAATTAGAGAGAGCAGCTGAGAGATGCATTAGTGTATTGCTTGAGTTGATCAAGATAAAAGTAAATTACGTGGTTCAAGAGGCAATCATTGTTATCAAAGACATATTTAGACAATACTCCAACACATATGAGTCCATAATTGTAACTCTTTGTGAGAGCTTAGACACCTTGTATGAGCTCGAAGCTAAGGCATCAATGATCTGGAAAATTAGTGAATATGCGGAAAGAATTGACAATGCTGACGAGCTTCTTGTCAATATTGCTACATTATCTTCTGTTTATCACAACCACCCATGTTTCCATAATATAATTCAACAACTATCTCTCAAACTCATTAACCCCAAAAAACGTCTATGTTCATAAACTAATCTACTAATTTGTCATAACTAATCTCACATTACATATACATCCAAAGTATTGTTATTTTTCAGAGTCCAAGGCTCTTGACATTTTTCAAAAGTGTTATGGTGAGCTTATAACATGGCGGTTGAAAGGTCTGGAATTGCCAAAGATGTTACATAATTGATTGGAAAAACCACTTTAGTATATCTGAACAAAATCACGGATGGTTCTGTTGCTCGCGTTGCCCCAAAACTTGAATTGATGGGGCCATGTTCTAGTGTTAAAGACAGGATTGGCTATAGTATGGTTACTGATGTAGAGGAGAGGGGGCTCATTACACCTGGCAAGAGTGTCCTCATTGAGGCAACGAGCGGTAACGCGGGAATCAGATTGGCCTTCCTAGCAGCAGCAAAAGGATACAAGCTTATCACTACAATGCCTACTACAATGTGTCTTGAAAGAAGAACCATTCTTCTATCTTTTGGGGCTGAGTTGGTTTGTTATGAAAGATCCTGCAAAAGGGAATGAAAGGGGAAGTTCAGAAAGAGGAAGAGATATTGTCCAAGACTCCAAATACATATATCCTTCAACAATTTGACAACCCTGCTAATCCAAAGGTGCATTATTAAACTACTGGCCCAGAGATATGGAAAGAGTTTCTAACCAAGACAAAAACAAAAATAACTGATTCCCTTACCAACTTAACCATAATCAACAACAACTTCTTTGTGATCTTCATCATCACAGTCTTTGTGATCTCCATCATCATAATCTTCTTCTGCATCATCTTTGCAGCATCTCAACATCAACCATATTTTGCATCATCTTCAATCTCTACTACTGATTCAAAGTCAGATCTTTAATCAATAATCACTATGCTTCGTTCGTGAATCTCTGAATTTTCAATATCTCATCAATTTTTCTGCATAGATCAAAAAGAAAAAAACATCGACATCATAAGAATTTATCAACACAAAAACTTCTGCATTCTCAATTTCAACGCAACAAAAACACGAGAGCAGGAAAAAAGTAAAAGAGAAAGTTGTGAAATTGGATCATCCTAATAAATCTAAGGCATCTCAAATTTCGATACCAAGAAGTTCAAAGTTGATATCAAATCCAACTAAAACATCGACGTCTGCTTCTTCAACTAAAAAAGAAACTCGCCATCCTTACCTAAGAGACAAATTACTTCAAGTATGAAGCACAAAAAAAAGGGGCCACTAACAAAATTCTCCAACAGTTTCTAACTTGTAACCAATTAACAGGAAACTCAAACAGAATTTTCTAACAGTTCTCAACTGATTCCTAACTATTAACAACCCCTAACCAAATCCCAACTGTTATAACTAATTCCTAACAATTTTCTAACTAACACTTCACTTCCTAACCGCTTAACTAACTCTCATAAACTAGCTTTCAACAGCTAACTTAACCTCCATTTAATCTGACCTTACCTCACTCTTAACAGTAGCCTAACAAAATTACTAACTAACTTACAGTTTTAACAAACATAGTTCTAGCTTATAACTAACTTCAAACCAACCTGCCAGCTCATATAACAGAATTCTAAAGCCCTCAACTAACTCTAACAGTGATATAACAGAAAAAAAGCTAACCTCATAACATACTTTAGCAGATTTAATCTCCACCTTCCATTCCATAACAAACTCTCATCATCCGAGGGCTCAAGTTCATTCCTCATGTAACTGATTTCAGACTTCCCTACTGTGATCGGTGGATCTGGAACTGACTGTTTAACGCTGGTTCGCGAAATGTCGTGGAAGCAAGAGTCGCCACCGTCTTTTATTTTCTCCAAATGGAAAGGACAAAAGCACAGAAAAATTCCTTATAGAGATTGCTCTCGATTCGGGAGGTAGATTATAGAAAGGGAAGGTGTTAGCACCCTTTCTATCCATGGTTATCCATGGGCTCTTAGATACTTGCTCATTTGTGTTTTCAAAATGGTTTGTTTGCTTTTCAACTGTGGGTTTTTAAAAAAGTTTCTTTGAAAATTTCAGTTCGACTCTTGTATCAGTCCTCAAGAGTGTTTGAAAAGTTGCTTTCGAAAGCTTTTTGAAAAGGTGTCGGTGTGAAAAGTATTTTTGATTTGTTTTGAAATTAGAGCAAGTATCTAGAGTCGTCTACCTACCCTAAGGAATTCGTCTGTGTAAATGTCCTTAAAGTAGTGCCATCCCACCATTGAGGGGTAGGTAGCACCACCGTTGGAGGTGTTCGGGTTAATTCGAAGGTTCGGGACATGGTGATCACCAGAGTAATAGGAAGACACCTTAGAAGCTACCCTCATGCCATATTCATGGACATGAGGACTTACTAAAATGTCCTCTACTCGACGACCACCTTTCGAGGGGCAAGGCAACAATGAGACGTACCCTAGGGGTGGTGTGTGATTTGTGTGTCGTTTTCAAATATTTTTGTCTTGTTCATGCATTGGTGATCTACGCGTTACTTTTATTTTAGGCCTTCATTCTTTCATGCAGATTATTAACAGTTAAAAGATGCGGAATTAAAAGGTCTTACGCTATTACAAAGGCGCGGGTCTACATCGCCAAATTAATCCAAGACCCGATTTAAAATAAAATAAAGTGCGAAAAATAAATATCCTAATTAGTCTATTACATGGCTTTGGGAGAATTACATGAAAAAGGAAATAAAATAAGCGTGCGAATTAGAATTATGATCGAATGCGAGGGCGTTGGACCCTTTTAAAGAAATTAAGTTACAATTAATAAATTAACTAAGTTTAAATAAAATGAAGAATTTTTTGGAGTTTTTATATTTATGGAGTTTAATGAGAATTAGTGGAATTAAAACCTAATTCTAAACTATTTCTAATTTATTAAAAAAAAAAATTAAGTTTGTATCCTAATTTTAACCTAATTATTTACATGGCAATTTATTTACAAAATAAGTAATTAATTATTAATAATGGTAAAAGAAAAGAAAAAAAAAGGATAAAAATATTTAAAACCCTAATTCTACATTTTTTAATTTATTAAGAAAAATATTAGAATTAAATCTAGAATTAAAACTAATTAATTGATAAAATTTATTTACAAAAAAATGTTAGTGAATTAAATATTAAAATGTATTTTTTATTTTTATAGTTTCTGTATTTTTTTGGGTATTTTTATGTTATGGAAATATTAATTTATGAATTAAAAGGAAATAATTAAATTAAAAACAAATAATAAAAAAAATAGGAAAAAGAAAAGAACTACAAACACTTGGGGGTGTTGACCCCAATTTGGAGGCATTATTGTAGCAAACAGGCCCAATGAATTAAGGCCTTCAGTTGACTTTTCAGGGCGCGTGTGGCTTCATTGACCAAGGCGTATGGAGTTCTCCAGATCAAGGCCATTGCTTTGATCTTCATGTATAGGTGGCAAGCACAGATATGGAGGCCTATGGTACTCCCTTGAGAACACACTGCGTGGAATTATGTTAGCAAGAAAAATATTGAAATAACATGGGGGACCTGGGGATCGAACCCAGGTCCCAGAGTTTACCAAACCAATGCCTTGCCACCTGAGCCATTTACGCGTTTTGTGTATAATATAGAAAATAATGAATATAATGTAAGACAAACGATTAGTGGTATATTTCGCGCGAAATTCAATCGCACCAACCGCTGGCTTACACCTCATCTTCTTCTCCACTCGTTCTGCATTTGCCTGAAAAAAGGAAAAGGATAGCGGGGGTTTTAAACCCCCACTAAGTGGTAAACATGAAAATAGCGAATAGGCCCTGGTTGCTCATAAATTGAGCGCGACCTATGGATTGAGTTCGTGTGAAGCTTCTGGTTCTAATGGCCCTGGTCTCGTGTCTCAATTTTTTCTGAAGAGGAAACCCCTAATTCGCGACCTCTGAAAACCTAGAAGGCTCCAATGGTAACTTTGCATATAGGCTATGAAAAATCAATTAAATAATGTCAATAGACTCAGAAGGTCCATATTAGTACAAAACGACAATTAAACTGTATGGAAAATGCCCAGAAATTGAAACACGATTATGCATAAAGTATGAGAAATTTTGAGTTCTATATACCAATTCTTGATGCGTGGGGATTGAAAAAGGATGCAGTTAGGTTCCTTGAAGCCTTGGAAAGCTATTGAAATTGGTTAGAAGCTTTGAATCATCCTCTAATGCCGTTTTCAGTTTTTGAAATTTTGGACAAAAATGCAAACTTTGTTCTTAGGTTTGGGCGCAGCTTCCAGCTTTTTAGCATTAGGGTTATGATCAGTATATGTATGCCAATGGATTAGGGTTGAAATTTGAATCCAAAAACCCCTGTAATCATGAATCAAATATTTGATTTTAATGACATATTTTTTCAATCTTTTTCATGTCTTTTGGTACCAATCATGGCCAAATCTTTCCTTTTTTGAGTATGCACGAATCTTGAGTAACCAATGAGAGCATATGCTGCATAAAAAGATTCAAACACATTTGTTTAGTATTTTTTTCATTTTTTATTTAATTAAATGAATTAATGGTGATTAAAAATTCAAATAAATAATAAAAAATGATGAAATAAATCCCCTTTTGGCCAAATGGTCGTGCATAGCCTTTGGATGATGAATCTTGGAAGAAAATGTGGCCCATTAGCAATTTTGAGGCATTTGAAGTAAAGTTGACTTTTCAAAATTCCCAAAAATTTCCCAACTTCCACAAGGCATATCTTGCTCAATTTTTAAGCTTTGATCATGTTCTTGGACATTTTGGAAAGGTCTTGAAGTCCTCTAACCAATGCCTTTGGTCTCATGTCATTTTGATTTACCAATCTGAAGTTATGATCTTTGACTTAAAGTGCCTTTTTGTTGACTTTTGAAAATGACCTATAATGTTGAAATTGATAACTTTTTGTGAGAGCATTTCTTGGACTTGAAGTGTGAAGAGGAGTTGTAGGAAATGTCTTTATCTTCAAAATGAGCTTTGGATGGAATTTTTCTGTTAAACCATGTGGAAGTTATGCCCTGGTCAAGTTACAGTTGATTTTTTCAACTGTCTAAATATGGAAACTTTTGCATCTTGAGACTTTTTGAGCCATGCCTTGAAAATCATGATCAAGAATTGATCAAATGATGTTTGTGGCTTCAAAATAAGATGTTGACCAAAAATTTGAACTTTTGACTGTCAAATGACCATTTTGCCCCTGCAGTTGACTGTTGAGCAATTAGGGTTTTTGACTGTGCAATTTTGTGCTGTGAGTTTTGAAACTTGACATGAGGATGCTTGACCATGTTTGTAGGCATGTGGGACTTGATTAGACCCTTGGAAACTTCAATTTCTTTGCCAGACCCAAAACCCTAGTTTTTGACTGTTAGGAGGCCTTTGAACTGTGCAACCCTTGGGAGATTTTGAAGCATGCTCTTTGCAAATCTTGAAGAATATGGGAGGGAAAATTTTGGGGTACAATAGTTGCCCCTGTTCAATCTTCTTAGACCTGAGGATGTAGATTGGCTGACGTGCCTTTCGTAATCCGAAGGTGGAAGATGATTGAACAC